TTCTGGCAGGGCCTGAACATAGAAGTCCCAGTGATGCAACAGCCCCCCAAATCCCTGTGTTCATGACTTCACAGGGGCACAGTCTTGGATGGAGGATTGGACATAAAGCTGATGGTTCTGGTTCTACCACTTACGGGCTGCGTGACTCCCTGAGACTGCTCTCCATATTTATTTTATAAATGCATAGCTTTGTGAAGGTCAGTTCACATGAGATTATTCCAGAAGCAACACTTTCTACACCGCCAGGTGACTTTCACTTTCTGTGTATGTCCCTTATTTCCAAGCTTCCAGGGACAGAGCTGGGGGTTGAGTGCAGGCAGTCTCATGGGTCTGTGTCTTAACCTCTCTGATCTGTCCCCTCCCTCTCATGTCCCATGTGGCCACATCTGGGGGCTTCCTCTCGGCAAAAACCATCTTCTTTCATTTGAAGTGATTACGGAATGGGTGACTCACAAATGGGCAGGGCTGGAAGGGCCCAGGGAGGTCATCTCCTGAACAAGCTTCCCATTCGGGTCCCAGGTCCACCCTGTAGGTCTGCTCTGGCTCGCCTTATTGAGGAAGCTGTCCTCCTCAGAGCCAGCCTGTGGTCATACGAAGGCTGCTTCAGCCCTACTTCCCACGTGCATTCCAGATGGGCCGAAGCACAAAAAGGACAGAGCGGCAGCACCTGTGTTAGGAAAGCGAAACTTTCCCAGAAATCTCCACAGACACTTGCTGGTGTCTCCTTGGCCAAGTCGGGTCACATGGCAAGGCTCAGCTCCAAGGGAGGCTGGGAAGTGTAATTTTGAAAAACTAGGTTCCCAGGCCTGTTGGAAAGAAAGGAGAGGACAATGGATATTGAGAAAGCAGCCCATGAATGGTAGTTAAAACCATGGGGGTAGAGGGAATTACCCTGGGACTGGGAGATGTGAAGGGAAAAAGACCGAGGCAGAATTCTGATGAACACAGGCCTGGAGAAGATCAGGAAGAGAAACAGGACGGGGACCAAGGAGACCGAAAGAGAAGCCAGGTAGGAGCAGAGCCAGAAGCGTGCTGTGTGTACCAGTCAAGGGGGACGAACGTTTCAGGAAGGAAGGAGTGATCCCCAGCTTCCAGGACTGCATTGTGGAGCTCGGACCGGCCTCGCCCTGCTTACCTTTAGACTTCTCCAACACTAAGTCCCCGCTTCCGCTCAAGCTCCTTCCTCCCTCTGCCTGGCCCCTGGCCTGTCCACAGACAAGTGCTGCAGCATGGAGCCCAGGGATAGCAAAGACAGCACTGGGACCCAAATCGGAACTCGACCAAGACAGAGGGGTAAGGAGGAAGTCAGAGGACCATTAAGACCAAGCTCTGCCATTTAACATTTTATTTACAGCCAACTACAGGTTCAGGAACAGGAGAAGAAACTCTCAGCTTCTTTCTCTTCCTTCCTGTACTGGTTTTTGTGCCCATAATCCATACCTCAGGCTTGTTGTAGTCTGCACTATGTAATTCAGCTATATTCTTGGTAATTACAGTTCCAGGGGCTGGCCTGGAAACTAAGTCACTGGTTATAATACAGCCAGCCCTTTTAGGAATTGGCGCTGTCCATCTCTTGATCCTTTTTATTTTTTTGAACCAGGAAAATAAAAAGGGCCTGCTCTGCTTTGAGTATCCCTGAGGCTCTGAAGCCACCCATATTGCTATAAAATGGGTCAGGTAGAGCTTAGTGGGTCTCCTATGGCACCTGGGAATGGCATAAGTAACTGTCAAGGGAGGCCTGGTTGGGGGCGGGTGGAGGCCATGGTGGCTCTGTCGGCATTTCCTTC